CTCATACTGCCTGTTCTGCTCCTCTTTTCACCCTCTGTCTGAAACCAGAGCCCAGTCTGCTCTGATTGGTTAGCTGGCCGGCTCTGTTGTGATTGGTCAACAGCTTAGAGATGTCCCACCCCTTAACCAATTGCATACAATGTGTTGGAGCACTTGCCAATAGAAGCACAAGTGTTACATAATGATGTCATTATGTCACAGAAGTGAACAAAGGAGTCCAATCGAAAAGCAATAAGCAAAATAGGGCCACTTTAAAAATCAAAGCAGCAAAACTATCATACATTTTAAAATGTTCTCTAAATATTTCTTGGTAAAATGATTGAAGGACTGAAGTTAAAGCGGCAATACAGTAAATATAAACTATTACAAGTCCTGCATTCAAAAATATTCAGTAAAAGTACAAAATATTTGTATTAAATTACACTTAAAGTACCATAGGTTAAGATCATTGTTATGCAGAATTGACCATAAGAAAAGTTATGTGTAATTTAACTTGATTATATTAAGTTAATATTAAATTTCCCATGACTCATGGCCATTTCTACTGATCATAATTCCATTGTTGAGGTCTACTAGAATAGATTTACATTGTTCAATGTTCCAAACTCACATTGGTTTCTCATACAGCATCTCTGTATGGTAGCCTATGTGTATTCACTCTGTCCTAAACGCCATATTGGAGCTCCTGCCCCCCGGAAAATATTGATTATTATTATAATTGTCATTCCACGGCTTGTAGAAGGTGAATAAATGAAAGAAAGACAGGAAAACTGACATCCATTTTTACCTTTTTTAATGAACCCTGATTATTGTTTAATTACAAATGAAGATGAACAGAGAGTAGAGAAACTAGTACAGGTGGTTCCTCTGGGATGAAAACAAAAAGTCTCCATCTCTCCTCTGGAGTGACAGTTCACAGTCAGGTTGGACGTGAGAGCAGAGACGGAGAAGGGAGCCAAAATACAACGGTTAAACAGTACAAAGCTTTTTTTCTTACACAATGCTCCAAAATGGAAAAAATATATATACAACATAAAAAAAAAGAAGTTTCTTCCCCTGCTCTACATCATGTGGGGATTAAGTGACCCTCCTCTTGTCCATGTTAATATGGTTATAAAAAAAGACTGCACTTAAAACTAGTTGAAGTTAATGTGAAAGAGTGGAACAAAAAACGTACAGAATTCATGAGAAGAGACCGGGCCATGGGCAAAAGGGTACAAAATAATCAAAAATATTCATGTTAATAATATAATAATTACAAGAGTAACAGTAATATGTCTGAAAAAATACAGAAAAAAATAAGAACAGCATTGAGGAAATTGAGGGAAATTTTGGGGGAAAAGTTGTTCTCTTTTTTGTTCGAGACCATAAGGCACAGGTGCAGCAGTGCGGGTACGACTCACTGTTTATCTTTACCAGACACTCTTTTAAACTGCTACATTCTATATAGCTAAAATATATTTCTTTATCTGGCACTTAAAGCGATTTTTATTGAAAGAAAATGACATTCAAAACAGGAGGTTTGACACTTTTAATGCTGACTTTGTCGACAAGTAAAAGGATAGATTTAGTGTTTTTGTGCCTGGTAAAGAAAAATGTCAAAATAAAGTGGGACTATATAGGGTGATAGGGTGTGTGTGTGTAGACAGCATAACCATAGAAACCACACATACACAAGTGCACATACACACAGCACAAAATGAGCGAGTCAGGTTATGGGAAGTCCCTTTCTCTCCACTCCGCTCTGAGGTTTTGTGATGCCATTTCCTGTGTGTGTGTAAATGTGTCTTTGGTATGCCGTCTACTCCAGAGACTGCGGAGGGCGTCTGATGTCACGTGTGATGTCATGTTTCTCTTTTATTCTAGCCACAGTAAAGCCTTACTGTAACCAGGGCAGTGTGTGTGTGTGTGTGTGTGTGTGTGTGTGTGTGTGTGTGTGTGTGTGAAAATGGGTAGGGTTCACACAACCGATTGACACAAAGCCACGAGAGTCCACGCTCCAACCAAAGTCCAGTCTTATCAGCAGCTGCGGTCCTGTGAGGTAACGCGAACCTGAACACCTGCTGTCGGCCAATCAGAATCCTCGCATTTAATTAGAACAAGCAAGTCCGTAACCCTCTCTGAGTTTGGACCAGCGCCACTTTTTTTACTCTGGTGTTTATTTTTGGTGGGGTTCTCCTATCTGTGTCATGTTGTAAACCCCGGCAAATCTGCTACTCCAGGTATGGTATAACAAACACTCCGACCAACAAAGTAAATACAATTCGACCCAGGTGTGGTTAAAATTCTGCTCACCCATTTATCCTCGTCCCCTGAATACACAATAACTGTCTTTTTTAATATTTGTACAATATAAATATATAACTCTGACACCAGTGGCCTTTGTCACTGCAGCTCAACGGTCAAGAGAAGGCAAGGGTGAGAAGGCATAGGCTGAATTATACTGGTAATAATATGCCCCGTTAGAATATATACATATCTTTTACCGTTTAAAAATAGTAGGATTTTCCCGATCTGTATCAAATGACCATATTGAAATATAATATTTGAATTCAATATATATTTGAATAAAATATATATGTGTAGATTTACTTATTCTGTATCTCTCTTTTACAAAAAACAGAAGGCATGGTGGTAGTGTGTGTGTGTGATAAAATATTTTGCTGGGCGTAGCTTGATAAAACTCTTTGTTGGCTTTTAAAAAGAAAAAGGCACAATCTTATTTGGGATAGTTTGTTCGTTAAAATGGGTCTTCTTACTTAATAAAAATGTCATAAAAATATGTTTCTCGCTATCTCAGTGAGGGGTTTAGCCTGAGTTAACCTTGATATTTGACATTCGTTACATGCTTTCTCTCACCTAGACCAATCAGATCTCTTCAATCATCGCATCACGTGAACAGATACCACTGTTATCACCAAAATACAGAAAGACCTCAGATCACGACAAATGCCCTAAAATACTGTCCATGTCCTTTGACAGAAAGAATACAGTCTTTTCAAAAATAAAACAAATGGGGGGGAATGCAGAAGAGCTGCAGATCTGTGTGTTAAGAGGGAGACAACACGACGAATGCCCTCAGAACCCTCCAAAGATTGTACAAAGTCACAAAACGCTGTATCCTCGAAGCATAGGGTTTCTTTTTGACACCAGCTCTCTACGCACACACATTCAGGAACAAGTGTGTCTGTAATTACAGCCTTTCAAGTAGCTGCTTCCTCCTTTCCTCAATGAGAGAAAAAGGAGAGATCGAACCGGCTTTTTCTTTAAAGACCCAGGTGTGTTTTCTCTGTACACGTCCATTCGCTGGCTAACAAACGTCTCATGTGGCAGGTCAGTTCATCACAATCTCCATCTTCCATCTACTTTGACTGTCTTCAACATGTACAACTCCAGCCTCATTTCATGTCTTTGTACACTGTAGTGAATGAGGCACGTGGCCTCGGTGCAGCCTCATAGTGTCCGAGGTTTCTTCCTGGAGAAAAGGCTGATTGGAGAGCCTTTTCTAAATCACCCTCTTCAGTCTGTGAGGCCCACCGGAGCAAGGGCTTTTCTTCCCCCTCTGGCTGCTCTTCATCTTGGAAAGGACTGCTGGGTGAGGGCAGAGAGGCACTTGGGTAATCTCTATCGGGGCTGATGAAAGTTTTTAGTAACGTTAGGATCTGGCTGTACAAGGTGAGAAGTTCTACTGCTGTAAGATGCAGGCTGCCTTTAGGATGATCTATTATAACAAATAGACCAGTTGTGAATACATTATCTGGGCACAGGTGTGATTTAACTGGCACTATGAAGGCGATGTGCAAGTCCTAAGAGATAAAGACCCCCTCTTTGTAGGACTCTTTAGTTCAAAGTTAGTCAGAATAAAGTTGGATTATCTCTCAATGTTGTCAGTCACAGCAAGAACACTGTCTGCTGGTCATGTTTGATGGGGCTTGGCTTGCAGTACATTAGAGGCTACACACACAGGCTGTATGTCCCGACACAGGCCATAATGTCTGGTAGCTGACAGTACTGACCAGAGGAAGGTGCTAAGGGAAAGTGTGTTGATGCTGCTAAAACAGTGACGAAACTTGAGAAGTAACTATGGGAACATCTTGTTTTTACTATATTGTGAACATGTGTCATATGTAGGAGCATGTCCTACATATGACACATGTACAAATTCAGACAAAATATAAGTGTGTTTCTGGAATCACCTTTCAGTCACTATCTCTATTTTCCAGCTTTATGCACACTAATGCTGTCAAGTTACCGTGAGGCATTACGGTCTAAAACTATACAGTGCTGCAGGGATGATGATGATGATGATGGAAAGGTGAAAGGTCCGAGACAAACTCTGTAGTCTTAATTAGCCAATTGTTAGGAACCCGCTTTGAAGGTTTAAAGTTTTAAGACATGTAAAACCTTCCAGTTCACTAATGAGGTATTTTGCTGAAGTATTTTATGTCGTAAAACAAATGTGAAAATCTCTTAAGCTTGTGTTAACCACAGGCCTTATTTAAGGCTTCTGAATAGCACAGTCAAAAAAGGGCATGGGACCTAAAGGGCAAGAATGCTTTCCAGGGTTTAGGACTCATTCCTGCTGCGCTCCATTAAGTGTGTGGACTAGACTAAGGGTGTGTGTGTTTTGACTCCCCTGTGTGTGTGTGTGTGTGTTCAGCAGCCAGTGTTTTCCAGTGACAGCTGCGCCGTGGCCCTCTGCAGCTCCGAGCTCGCTCTGCGCTGGGTGGGAGGCGGTGGCAGCATCAACCCCAAAATAACACCTCCCGCTCCTCCTCTTCCTCCCCCGTTCTCTGCCTGCCCTACTCTCTTCTCCTCCTCCTCTCTGTCAGCTCTCACTTTCTTATCCTCTGCCTCGCCCCTCTCTCCGTCCGCCTCCATCTTCTGGTCTTCGCTCCAGCGCCGCTTGAAGCGCAGTTTGAGCGGGATGCAGGGGCTGACGGGAGCCACGTGGCCTGGCTCGCTCTTCAGGTTGATCAGGGGGAAGGCCTGGCTGATGCTGCTGCTGCTGCCGATGGGGGGAGTGGCAGGGGTCTTGAAGACATCGTCGTCTGGGTCTTCTTCAGGGTGACTGTGTGGAGGTGCGGAGAGGCTGCTCATGTTTCCGTTGGCCCGGAGATGGCTGTTGAGCTGATGGTGATAGTGATGAGCTGTCGGTGTGAAAATGCCACCTTGTTCCTCCTCGTCACTGTGATTGAGCTCATCATCCTCGCTGATGTCGGTCACCTGCACCTCCTCTTCCGAGTCGATGTCTGATATGGGCTCCACCTGGAGAGGAAGAATATTTCACAGCTTGACATTTTATTTATGACTCGGGCAAGATGTTATTAATGCTTGAAATGTTTGAGAGGCATTTCCAAAACCATAACTAAGTAGAAACACCACATCCTTTGTGTGTGTGTGTGTGTGTGTGTGTGTGTGTGTGCGCAGACTCACCTTGATCTTAGGAGGCCCCGTAGCCAAAGAGGAGTTGATTATCTGACTTGACCCTGTGAATGAGGAAGAGGAGGAAGAGGAGGATGAGGCACCAGCCAATGAGCTCCCAGAGTCCCTCTGCTTGCGCCCGAGCGGCGGCGGCTGCAGCTTGAACTTGAACGGTGACGGGTGCTGATCCCTCTCGTCGCCACCTGCTGACTGCTGGCTGAGCGGATGAGAAAGCGGCAGGGGCGGGCAGTGGAGGTGATGGGCGGCCGGCTTCTCCGGGGTGGGGCGGTGGGGCTGGGGGATGATAATGTTTGGGTAGTGGAGGAAGGCCCGGGGGCTGAGGTGGTAGTTGTAGACGGACTGGGTGTGGGCCTGCAGGTAGTGTTTCATGTCCTCCTGGTTGAAGGAGAAGTGGGAGCCCAACATCGGAGAGGACATGGAGGGAGAGGGGGTGTAGGACATGTGGGGGGTGGGGGTCATGGAGAGGGCTGGGGACAGATTTGGGCCCAGGAGCCCACCAGGTCCGGGCAGGGGGGAAACGGGGAAAGGAGACAGGGAATCTGGGTGCACCCTGGGGCCGTGCCTGCCGAGGACTGCTGGGTAGATCCTGAATAGAGAGTCGTGCGGCAGGCGGGGGGGCAGCAGACCCCTGTAGGCCCGGTCCGGCCCCGCACCTCGCTCCTCGGCCCCCATGGCCTCCTCCAGCTCAGAGTTGGTTGATGTGCCGTCGCTGCAGTCGCTCACAGAGCCGCGGGCCATGCGGCGAGCCACGCTGCTGAACATGCCGGGGCTGCGCAGCTCCTCATTGGAGGAGAGCACATCTGAGGGTGTGGAGGGGGGGAAACGGAAGTGGCTGTTTCCGGTTGGCACTGGAGGGGCACTCTGAGGGACCCTACCTGTGAAGAGGAACAAGAGAGAAGGGATAGTTAGTTCAAGTAATACTTTGTGTACAGTTTATAACGAGATGGGAAAAGACAATCATTGCCTTAATTTTCTGCTCACTGAGTTATTGGACGCGTAGTATTATATATATTTAACACATTTTCTGTAAATAGGGTGTCAGAAAATCCGTCAAAAAGGGACAGAAATCTTAAGGGTTTTCACTCCAAATCAACATGTTTACTTAAATTATTTCAGAAAATAAAAGCAATGTGAATTGAAAACAAGCTCATCTTAAAAGAGAGACAAAGTCAAACTTAATTTGAAGTCTTATGGATATTTTATTAATTCAAATGTCCAAGTAAGCTCGCTACAGCACTTATTTCTTCAGAAAGAGAGATAATAGAAACCCCTCGATAAGAGACTGTATTGAGTCACAGGAGCTAGTTGAAAGAAGACAGGCTCAAAGGTGACGTTATTTCTCCTGTTCTTTGGAATACACAGTATTTTGTCCCTCATGTCTAATGGCGGCTGTGTATGAGGTTAGTTTTGCTTTGTGAGGTATCGGTCTCAAGGTTTTCTGCATGGACCCGAAGGAAATGAGGAAATAATCAGGGTCCTGCAGGTTTTGCCAACTCAAATTTTTTTAAGACCTTTTTAAGACCACTTTGAATATAATTTAAGACCTATTTCACGGCAAAAAAGTATGAAGGAAAATTGCTAGGAAAGAAGAAATACGTCCCATAATTACTTACAAAGTAAATGTATTCATGTTCAACATAAGAACAATGACTGAACATAACAGCACAGAACAGTAGTGTCAGACACAAAGTGAGTGTGTGTGTGTGCTTGTGTGTGTGTGTGTGTGTGTGTTAGGGCTGTGCAATTAATCGTATTTTAATCGCAATTACGATTTTGGCCTGCCACAATTACGAAAACATAATCGGGAAAAAAGATAATTTTGCTTTGCTGCTGTAGGTTGTGACAGTGCACTAAAACATATTTGATCTCATTTATTTTAGTCTAATTTATATTTATTTATCATATTTATATATGTTTAGTAGCTTGTTTGCTGATCTTGTTTATTGGTATTTATTATTTTGATATTATTTATTTAAATGTATCATTTATTTAATTAATTTTTGTATTGGTTTTTCAGTTGAATTATAAGTTCAGGGTAATCAAAAGTTAAAAAGATACTGTTCAAATTATTATTTGTTTTAAAGTTCAATAAATGGATGTTTTCAAAGTCAATGAATAATCGTATTTAATAATCGTGATATCAATTATTGACCAAAATAATTGTGATTATGATTTTTGCCATAAACGAGCAGGTGTGTGTGTGTGTGTGTGTGTGTGTGTGTGTGTGAGTGTGTGTGTGTGTGTGTGAGTGTGAGTGTGTGTGTGTGTGAGTGTGTGACAAGAGCTATATTCAGTGCTCTGCTGCCTTGGCTACAATCTTTCATCATTGCTGTTGTATGATTGGTGTTTAGCTACGGTATTTAGCGTCTACAGCACCTCCGCTTTTAGGGTTGATGTCGTAGACCCAAACGTCGCCCGGAGGTCCCCCGGTCTTGTTGCGGGAGCTGCTGCACTAGCCAACGCAGCACTAGCTACCGCACATCAGCAAAACAGATGCTAATTTATTTTTGCAAAAGGTGCAGCGGGCTACAAACACGTTCCCCTCCACTGGTTTCAACCAAGCACTAAATTCGATGTTTTCCAAACAAATACGGTTGAACTGACACTTCCCCATATTTATTTGTAAGTAGATTCGAAGATACCTGAGTTTCTGACTGCCGCTAGCTGAAGCTTGGTT